TCCCGGGCGCCAGAGTGAGACTGTCTCACACACAAAAAAAACAAAACCAAAAGAGGCCGGGTGCGGAGGCTCACACCTGTCATCCCAGCACTCTGGGAGGCCGAGGGGGGAGGATCGCTCGAGGTCAGGAGTTGGAGGCCAGCCTGAGGAAGAGCGAGACCCCGTCTCTACTAAAAAAAAAAAAATAGAAAATGAGGTGGTCGACTAAAACCATACAGAAAAAACAAAAACGAGCCGGGCGTGGTGGCGCACGCCCGTCGTCCTGGCTCTTCGGGAGGGAGGCCGAGGCGGGAGGCTCGCTTGAGCCTCAACGTTGGAGGTTGCTGTGAGCGAGGCTGCCGCCACGGCGCTCATTCCGGCCCGGGCGACAGAGCGAGAGTCTATCTCAAAATTAAACCTTGGCCTTCCCCAAACCGACAAGTCTCAGGAAGGGGCAACGCTCTGTGTGTCGCAGAGACCCCGAGAAGGGAGGTTGCCCGGCCTCGGCCCCGGGTCCCCACGTCCCCGGCAGGACTCACGATCTCGTCGCCGGGCTTGCAGCTGTCCACGAGGTCGGCCAGCAGGATGGCGTCCTTGGAGCGGGGCAGGCGGCCGGCTGCCACCTTGCCCGGGCTCTCCTGGATCCGGATGCGCTGGTAGTTCTGGTACACGGTCTGCAGGGGACAGGGGGGGACGGTGACAACGTGGCCGCCGGGTCCCCCTGAAATCCCCCGGCCACCTCGCCCGGCCTGGGTCGGGCCATCGAGCTCCCCCACGTGGAGGGAGGACAGGGAGAGACTTATTGTTCCCGCCACACGATCGGGGAAACAGAGGCAGAGCCCGGTGGGGACAGCAAGCCAGCCCGTGTCCCCCAGACGGCCTGCACCTGCTAGGGTCCCGATACACGTCGTAAATAAAAATAATGACGATAATTTAAACGACCTGAACAATTAAAGAGAAAGATCGGAGAGTTCCGGATGTGCATCATAAATAATCAAACTTAAGAAAATAGTTAAAATAATCTAAGGATTAAAAGTAAAGATTGGAGAGTTGTGAATGTGAGCCGTAAATGAAAAAAAAAATAATAATAATAACTTAAATGACCTGAAGAATTAAAAAGACAGGAGAGTTCCGGATGTGCATCATAAATAATAAAACAACAATGAAAAAATGGTTAAAACAATTTAAGAATTAAAAGATTGGAGATTTGTGAATATGAATCGTAAATAAAATAATAACAATAATAATAATTTAAATGACCTGAAAAATTAAAGAGAAAAGATCGGAGAGTTCCGGATGTCCATCATAAATAATCAAATTTAAAAAAACAGTTAAAATAATTTAAGGATTAAAAGTAAAGATTGGAGAGTTGTGAATGTGAGCCGTAAATAAAAAAAATAATAATGATAATAATTTAAATGACCTGAAGAATTAAAAAGACCGGAGAGTCCCGGATGTGCATCATTAAATAATGAAACAAACAAACAAACAAAATAGTTAAAATAATCTGAGAATTGAAAGATTGGAGAGTTGTGAATATGAATCGTAAATGAAATAATAATAATAATAATTTAAATGACCTGAACAATTAAAGCAAAAAGATCGGAGAGTTCCAGATGTGCATCATAAATAATAAAACAACAACAACAAAAATGGTTAATATAATTTAAGAATTAAAAGATTGGAGATTTGTGAATATGAACCGTAAATAAAAAAAATAATAATAATAATAATTTAAACGACCTGAAGAATTAAAGGAAAAAGAT